AAAAAAAAAAAAAAAAAAAAAAAAAAAAAAAAAGACCGCCTTCATTATCTTCCATTGAGTGATATACATCATAACTTAGGAATTCATTAAAAATATTAAAATAAAAGGCAACACAAAGTAAAAAAGAAATACATATTAAAACTGAAAAGATTTCAAAAGTAAAATCAGCCTGTTTGCCTTAACTATAGTGTGATATGTTCAGAACTTAGGATTTCACTCTTCTTTAGAATAAGAAAATTATAATACCTGAATTTGTAACTTTAACATTTAAAATTCACCCCTTGGCAGAGATGAATTTAAATTCTATAAGTATGTAAACTCTTAATTATGACCATATTCCGTACTTTATTCTGTTCATTAGCACATAGCACACTGAAATCAAAACTGTGGGTTCAATTTCCACACAGATCAACTTTGTATCTTTCTGTCAATATAAATCCCCACATGCTACCAGAGAAGTAACTTGGAGACACTGCTTTGGAGTCATATAGACCTGGGCTAGAATTCCAACTTGTCCACTGTTAGGCTTGCAAATATGGGCAAATGACTCTTAGCATTCGGAGCCTCAGTTTCCTTTTCTATAAAATGTAGATAATACCTGTCTCAATGTCGTTATCCTGAGATAAGTATAAACTGAATTAGGTATAACATGTTTGCAAAGAATTCAGAGCAGTGCCATGCATAGGCCCTTGATAGGTTCCAGCAGGTACTGAGGGCCCCCTTGCAGTCTGAGGTTAGTACGGGCACTGGGTGCAAAATGGCATGCAGTGGTCAGAATGCTCTGTCTAGGAAAGAAGACTGCTTATTGCTTTCCAACTGACTTACATACTTTAATAAACAAGGACAGTCCTGGGTCCTGGGAGTCTCTATTCTATAGTAAACGTTTTCACACACACTTTATTTGGAAGGGTGGTGACTTTTAACTCTCCACCCAAACCTTCACAAAAATAGCTTTATGACATAGAAACAAGAATGTTATTGCCCTCATATACGAAGCCATTAGTATACTTCCCTCGAAAGAGGCAGGTCTTTTATTCCACTTCTTACCTTTTCAATTTTTTCATCCAGCATTCTGAAGAATTCTTGTTGGCTTTCAGAGATGTGCATGCTGAAAAACAAAGGGTAGTTGAGTGCATATTTCAGTGCTTTGCTAAACCTGGTCCCCTCAAGGGAAAAATGCTGAGATGCTGAGCCCCCAAACTTTGGGGCAGACATTTACTTATTGCAGACTTTTCCACTGAAATACTCTGAAGTTACATTTAGGATAAACAGTACAGTTATCCTGCAAATATGTTTCATAATAGTCTATCAGTGCCTATGGCTTAAAGGAAGACAATTTCCTTTCAATGTACAGATGCTATTTATAGTAATGTTACTAGGAGCTGCATGCCAAATTCATTCTTCAGATACACATTTGTGATTTTTTAAAAAAAGCATGAGCAAGCAGCACACGGCATATTTCAACACTGCATTGAAAAGAAAAATAAAAAAGAAAATGTATCCTAGTTATTGTATTGAAATACATTATTTTACAAAGGTTGTCAGTAACAGCATGATCTCCAGCTGACTATCGGTGTGGGCTGGTGGCAATCAAGCTGAGGACATACAGATGACCTATATTACTTCCGAGCACTTTCTGCAATGGTGACAGCAGATACCCTCTGAAAATACAATTCCATTGGAATGTGGGAGAACGCATGTCTGAGTAGCATTTGCTCTGTGTTTCTTGTCCTGTGGCATTTAACAGCTTACATAGTGAGACAGCTGACATGTCTGGTGGAGATGAAAATAAGATGGTAAGGAGAGCAGGGATGAATCAGAGATGGGAAGGGCACGGGGTAGTATGGGGCTTAGCGGTAACATGGTCTTAATGACAATTGTTTCTATCTAGCAGATAGCTGTGGGTGTTCCAAGGAGGTGAGGGATGCTGGGTAAGAGATGTTATCACACGGCATTTCCTTCAGTTACTATCAGTGCCTACTGGTTGTCCTGTTTGAGGGACAGGGTGGAGTGCGGGCTCTGGAATGGCTTCTTTCCTTTCTATCCAAGTATGATGAGAAGCCCATCGGATGGATCCTTTAACATCATGTCTTATCCTTTAGGGGCCACAGGGAGGGGCACAGGTGACCTGAAACCTTCCAAACCTCCTGTGACAGACAGTGGAGGCTGAAGCTCAGAGGAAGTTTTCCCCTCTGTGTAAAAGCAACATTTAAAATCTGTGAGCAAGGACATCAACTCGGCTATCAAAGAAAAACAATGTACATATCTGATACCATTAATCAATCTTCATGGTTTACAAAGCACTTTCACATATATCATGTAATTTTTCTGCCTTTTATCTGACCATTCAAACAAGGTCAATGTTTTGTTTGGGAAACACGCCCTCTCTTATTGCAGGTTTGAAAGGCAGAACAGAATCTGGGATGGTGAGAGTACATTAAACTGTCTCCTCTCTGTAGATCTTGGGCAGAAAAGCCAGTTTGCATAACTGAGTTTTCCCAGGTTCTTCATGTTTCAGTGTCTCAAGCACCAAAACATTTTTTATTTGAGCCATGTTGGATGCAAATCTTTCTAAGTGTCATACTCTCATAATAGAGGATCTCTCTCATAAACATTTCTTAGCTTTCACTTAATAAAGAGAGGCCATTTCCATGGTCTTAAATTACAATGCTCTTCTGTAATACTGTGATACCCAGAACCACTAGATGGGTTGAGCTGGCTCACTTTAAACAAAATGGCTTCAGCCTCCAGGGCATTTGTTTTTTGCCTGGTTTTGGGGTTTTTCTCTCATTTCTTCTCGTCAGCATGGTGTCCATCCTCTTTCGGCTTTCTTCCCAGTTGCTGCTTCCACTCTACGTGGAAACAGCACAGCCAAGTTGTTTAGAGTTGTGTGTACAATTAGTATAAGCAGACTCCGTGGGGGAACCTGGGGCTTTCTTGTGAGTGGAAACATCCATGTTCTGTCACCTGTTTTGGCTGCTCAAGCTCCTTTTCAATGTCTTTTATGTTCATGGCCAAGGTCTTAAGAGGTCAGTTTGCTGGACAGCTCCAGGTTCCAGATTGGAAAGGCATTAAGATCTTTCTTTCTCTCTCTCTCTCTCTCTCTGTCTTTTGGGGGGGGCAGAGTCTTGGTCTGTCGCCTGGGCTGGAATGCAATGGTGAAATCCTGGCTCACTGCAACCTCTGCCTCCCAGGTTCAAGAGATTCTCCTTTCTCCTGCCTCAGCCTCCCGAGTAGCTGGGACTACAGGGGTGAGCCATCACGTCCAGCTAATTTTTTGTATTTTTAGTAGAGATAAGGTTTCACCATGTAGACCAGGCTAGTCTCTAACTCCTGACCTCAGGTGATCCACTCACCTCAGCCTCCCAAAGTGCTGGGATTACAGGTGTGAGCCCTGAGCCTGGCCAGATTGCTCTCTCTTAATATAGGTAACTGGATAGATAGATAACCATATGTATATGTTGCCCCAGAAATGTTGTCCTAGAAAATATTCCAGAGACCTCAAAAAAATGGCATTTTTAGGATTTGACGTTCATCGGGGAAACTCACTGGTTGGAGTTTTTAGCATATATTGCCTTGAATATAACAGGAGGGCAAAAAATATTTCTTAATTAATTGACAGAGTCCTCCTATCTAAATTCACGTGATTCATGACCCCTCACTGAAGCATCGAGTTTGTCAGCATGGGTGATGTGCAGGTCTGAGTCCTTATCTATAAAACCAGGGCTGGTCTCTGGGGTCCCTTCTGTCTATGATTGTCACTAACTTCCATTACCTCCTTTATTTAAATACTATGACAAGAAAACATCCACATTTGGTCAGTACTCATATATATGCATATGAGAGGAACAAGATGGGGAATTTTTAAATAAAAGTACCTCTGCAAATGCATCCGCATCTCTGTGATCAAGAATGCACTTATCACAGGGTAAGGGGTCCCTATCAGGAGCTTGACACCAAAAGTGCTGGCTAAGGATCTTGGGATGCTTATACGGGAAAGCAACCATAAAACTCTCAGGGGTTTCAGCTTTGTGTTGCCCCATGATACAGCAATGCTGCCTGCTTCTGCTTTGTCTAAGATCATTAGAACATGCCTGCCTGCCTTTGCCACATCTTATAACCCACGAAGAAGAGGCACACACCAGACTGAGTCACTGTCTTCACATCCTCAAGTACAGTGCATGAGCTGTGTTAGAAAAGACTGAATGGAAGGGAGCTTTGTGATTGTCAAAGCCTGGAGCACCAGACAGGCTCCTCCAGATAGCCTGCATGGTCACTGGAAGCGACTGTCAGGCATGGCCAGGGGAGCAAATACCCACACGGGTCACCTGTGCATCGTTTCTGGTGGGGTGTCATCCGAAAGCATGAGGCCTACTCCGCAGTTCTCCATGGGATTGTTTCAGACAGAAGCAGAGAAATTTCTTCAAAGGGGCAGAGACAGAATTTTCACTCTGACAAAATAAATTACCCCATATCAACTGATTCCCACCTAGATAAACCTGAGTCCCCTCTTTTCATGTGGAAGAAACTTATCCACACAGTGGCATGAATATGTGTCTACCTTCAAGAGTACAAACTGCACCATGGAAAACAGCCCCTGTGTAATGACTTGATTCTAAAATCCTTTCTGATGCACATTTTGATGACTGTGAGTGGGGGAGACGAGGAGGAAAAGCTCATTGGCTTTCTATTTTTTTTTTCAAGGTATTAGAAAGGGATCACTTAATTGTTTATGACTCAAGCTTATAAAGGATGAACAATTGATTCTAAGAGTCATTAATATTCACTTACAAAAGCCTACACCTTGGTACCTGACTTAGCCAATAAGGCTCGATGATTTTGGTAATTCCTATTTCTCTCTAGTAACTAAAACTCAACCTTGAAAACTCACTGCGCCACTGGAACACGCCCTGTGGCCCTTAGCACTGACAAAGCTCTTGTGAGTTAACTCTGCACCCTCAAACACTCTTCTTCCTGAGACTTCTCGGCTTTATGGGACTAGGGATGACAATACTATGACATCCTAATGCAAATTAAACAAATTAATGAATGGTGGGCAAAATGGCCTTTAGAGCTAAAAGATATGGGGCTTTCACTTTTAGTGAAAGCCTGTCTTAAAAATTAAAATTTGCAAATGATAAAAAGTTATGCATGAAAGTATGAGGAGACAAAGTCCTAATTCCCTAATATCTCACTGGTGAAGCAGGGCAGAATAAGCCACCCTAAGATATGACCACTTTGTCATAAGGATTATTTTGAGCTAAAGGCAACTGAAAACAGCAGGTGCAGGAGGGGAATTCTGACCTCCTCATTTCTTCCTGAAAGTACGAGATGGAACTCCCATGTGAACAATGCCCTCCCAAGACCAGGGGGAGAGAAACATTCTCATCACCAGAAACAGGGAGTCAAGGCCAAGAGAACTCTGTGCTAAGAGCCCTTGTTAAAATAATTCTTTGCTTCCTTTAGTCTCCCCACATATTTCAGGTGGTTTTCCACAACTGCCTGTTTGTTCAACCTAGTATACAAATATGTGGGTTTTGTCACTTCCTGGGTATTCATTTTCCTATAGGGGCTCCCATGTACATGCAGAAATTGATATGCTTTTCTCCTATTAAATCTGTCTTATGTCAATTTAATTCTCAGGCCCAGCCAGAAACCCTGAGAGGGTCGGCATAAAGTTCCGCCTCCCCTGCGATACTAAAATTCCATTACCAAGTGGGTTCCTGGTAATCTTAGCCTGAATACAGTATTTTCTTTATGATCATCATTAATTTGCAACTGGACCTCAGGAACAGACTCATCCTAACCCTCATTCTGTGGCAGATTCCTCCTAGTAGTTCATGTACAGTTCACTTTTATTTATTTTGTTAATTACTTTGTTTTTTAAAAGTAGCATAATAAACACCTGTGGAATCAAAAATAAAAACAAACAAAAGCGAGGACCTTGACAACAACCCATAGCTGACTCCATGTTAGCTCCTAACCGTGTGTGTATTTCCACAAGCCAAGGTGACTATCACTCCCTCACTTTCCTTTTCTATAGTTTTAACACATCTCTATGTGTGCCTTTAAAAGACAGATTATTTCAGTTGTGTTTAACTTTATAAAGAGTGCATCACGTTCTATGTAATCTTTCAGGACTCACTCTTTTCTTGTAATATTATACTGCCAGGGCCCATCCAATATTGTGCATGGCTGCTGTGCATCTGGTTGAACTGCTGACTGATATCCCATTGTGTGAATATAGTGTAGTGCATTCATACTACCTCCTGTGAAAGGCATTTGGTTGTTTCTATTATTTAAGGCATTCTTACCAAGCGCCAGATGATGCGATAAGTGGTGAGCATACCCTATTTCATTCGTTTTCTAGTCCCACAAAACAGGATTTTTCACTTCCAGTTCCCTCTGAGAAAACTGAAGGTCAAAGACAGTAGGCCACTTGCTTGATATCAATTTAAAGCATTAAATGAAGGTATGAGGATGACATGCCTTCATGATGCTATGAGGATGACCTGCCTTTATGGTATGGGATTGTCCTTCCACTCATGGGGAAAAAGAAGCATCATCTTATTTCATGCATCTGTATAGTAAACTGATCCTTTATGTCAGCAAGTAGGAAAAGTAAAACTCTTCTCTTGGCCCTCCAGGAAGATTTCTTAATTGAATTCTAGGCATCTAATGTTCTGATTCACAGTTTACAATACATATACACGTGTCCACATACAGGTACACACACACACACACACACACACACACACACACACACACACACACAAGCATGCTGCTGTGTGGAAAACAGAATTTTCTCCTTTGAAAGCTTCAGGACACACCAGTCTGTGAAGTGCGCTGCTTCAGAGTGTCAAAGTTAAGTAAGTATTCTTTCTAACAGAAAGGAGAAATTCTCCTCCATTCAATCTCTCTTTATAACTCTGAGATAAGGGAAGCATTTAAAAATAGCATATTTCAGACATCTTGGATGACAAGGTGGTTTGGCTGTGTTATCAGATATCTGCTGTCCCCAAAGGCAGATACAGTGGATGAAAGCGATCAGCAGTGAAGTAGGCTAGGGAGGTTGTGGCTGCAGCACAACATTTACCCGAGGGTGAAAACATCAGCTGCATCATTACACTGACATGGTAAATGGTAAGTGGATTTTAACATGTCCAGTTTTCTCTGAAAGTAAAAATTAAATCACAGAGCCCATTACCTACCCCCTGAGGTCTCCTAACTGCGACACCACAGTGGCCATGGCAGCAGCGATTCCACAGACACTGAGCCAGGTTAAAGTGATTATGAACTAGGTAATTTTTGTTGCAATCTTTTGGAAGAACCAGAGATAACATACCTTCTTCTGCTTATAATTTCGATTTGTGGGGCTATCCATATATATATGTAATGGTCAAATTTATTTTGGGGTAGGGGCGTGACTGTCAAATATACCAGTGTCATTGGTACTCTCAATAAATTGGTTGCATTTAGGTGGAACACCACAACACATTTGTAGCCTCTGGGATAACACAGCCTCTTTGAAGGAGAGGACAGCCTCAAAGTCATACAAAGGACATTTTAGCATTAAGGTTAGAGTCAGTTCTAGAACAATCTAGAAAACTACTAATTATTGTTTTTAACTTGAATAGGAATTGACCTTTTAAATGAAACATTTAGGTATAGTCATTTGTTGGTATTCTACAATCATATTTTCAAGTTTCTACTGTAAGTGGGAAAATGTATTAGGCACTCTATAGAGCCTCATGTGATATATTCTTTTTTTTCCAAGTTAAAATTTTTTCTTTTTAACTTTCCAGTTGTGATACACCTAATACATAGAAGACATATAATGCTATTTGTACATTTTTTGCATAATAACAATTGAACGCTCATGTAATTACCACCCAGATTAAGAAACAGAGCCTCTGGTTCCACTGTCTTCCATTTGGTCAGAAAGAACTAAAGCCTTTTCATTTCCTTATATCCCTTTATTGTTTTATCGTATACTAATTTACAACACATGCCTTAGTTCTGCCTGTTTTTTGTTTTACTTTATATCAATGAAATCATATATAGGCATGTACTGCTGCTTACTCTACTGCCTCATCTTTATACTTATGAGATTCCTCCATCATGATATGTGTACCTATAGTCACTCATTTTCGCTGATGTATAGTATTCCCATCACAAGAAGACGTCACAGTTTAGTTACCCATTATATTTCAATGAACATTTGGGTTTTACCTTTTAGAGCTTCTTAATTTTAAGGCAGTCATATTAATTAATGATTTTCCTTAAGACCTACATCCTTTGTGTCTTATTCAAAATTCTTCCCCACCTCATAGTCATAGCGATATTCTTCTCTGTTTTCTTCTAACTGGTCTACAAAGTCAGCTTTGTCACATATTGTACATCTGTTTGCTTTATTCTGTTCTGTTACACCAAACCACATTTTCTCAATTACTAAAGCTTTATATAATAGGTCTTGATTATCTGGTAGGCAAAATGGAATTCACTCTGAAAACATTTTTAGCTTTAAAAACAATACGGCTGTCCCTCGGTATCTGTAGGGGATTGGTTCCAGGACCTCTCTGTAGATACCAAAATCTGCAGATGCTCAGGTCCCTGATGTAAAATGGCATAGTATTTGTATAACCCCCACACATCCTCCCGTATACTCTAAATCATCTCTAGATTACTCGTAATACCTAACACAGTGCCTACACGACATTTCATTCCCAGGAATTCAACATAGTACTGGGTGTGTGGCAAGTTCAAGTTTTGTTTTTTGGAACTTTGTAGAATTATTATTTTTTGAATATTTTTGATCCATGGTTAGTTGAATCCACAGACGCAGAATCCATGGACATGGAAGGCCAACTGTGTAAGGAAAACAGGAACTAGAACTTACTTTGCTCTGGGTTGATGAACTAATCCCGGAACCTCTTTATTAGTTTTAAGTCTGACATTTGAGCTGGCACTTTTTTCCTGAAACACATAAGCAGACACATGTAAAAGACAGGATTAGAATCCACGATTAAATGAGTGCATGAGTTTTCATCACAGAAACATTCAATCTGTTTGGAGCCCTACATCACAGCTCATTACCTCACAAGGGCATAAGTCCTTGCAAAGAGGACACACAGAACAGGTAGAACCTGTCAAACAGGAAACATTGCTGTGAAAAGAGAAATTCGCTTTATAACAACTGTGACTTTGTTTAGAAAACAACGTGCAGTTAATATTTAATTCTTTAACACTAATAGTAATGAATCAAAGAACAGAAGATCTAGTGTCAAGAGAAACAACAGCAATACAATCACAGCCTTTGTTCACTTGCTCAGGTTAACTGACTTCCGAGCAATTTACTTGTAAAAGACAACTGCACTTACTGAGATGTAAAGTTTGCTGAAGGTCCTAGCTGTGACAGGAACAGGAACATGACTAAAACCCACAACAGATGCTGAGATTGAATTCAATTGAATTAATACAATTCAATCCTAGCCTGCATTCAAGAAACACATCCTTGGCTTTTAGCTTGACCTGATTTCTTATTTCCAATAACTAGCCACGTAGGAAGGAAATGTCCTCAAATCTTAAAATGTTAGTATATCAGTAAGAACATGATCTCAGTCATACTACCGCTCTGTTTTTCAACATTATCTTAAAAAGATATTCAAGGTGCTTTGTAATTTGCTTGCAAAATGTACTCCTAAAATGAAAGGAAAGACCACTTTGAACCTATGTAACATGTGACTATATACACTCAAAGAACTTGAAGTATAGCCAAGTCTAGAGTGAGTAATAAAAACTGTCATGGGCCCATGCAACATTCTCATCACATGCAGAGTGATGTGGGATGACACATAAGACAGACGGACACTAATGAGCTCTTTTAGAGGTCCTATTTCTCTTAGGACAGCAGAAACCACTTAAGTCAGTGAAACTCCAATGACTTGCGTATTCCAGTTGTTTGTTATTAACCATCAAACATGAACTTAACGTGCTTATAATCAGTACTCCAAAAAATAAGTGATTCTGTTTGTGTTATTTTAGGAAAAGAAACAATCAGAAATTTCTTGCAGTCTGTCTTACCTTCTTTACCTTATACTAACTTAAGAATGTTTTCATGAACATTTAAGAAGGATAAAACATATATTGTTCTGTCTGCTGATGTAAGTCAGGGAATAGCAGATGAACACTCCTGATCTTTTACAGAGCAGGCAGGAGAAATGAGAAAACCCAAACATACTCACACTAGAAGGGCAGGGCCCATGTCTTTTCTTTAACACTTGGGGTTAGAGGCCTGGCACTTCATGGGAAGCACTCAGCAAATACCGGTGAATGAATGAACAATGAAAACAAGTCATTAACTTGTTTTTAAAAGTTAAAGGTCAAAATATCTCAAATGTAGTCTCTTTGTAGGACTGAAGATGTAGTTTCCTTCCAAGTTGGTCCTTTTCTCTTTTAAATCTTACGGTGTCTTAAACACTGATAATGAACAAGACTTTATCCTTTCTCTTTCACATAATTTCCACCACTCTTTGAGCTTAAAAGAAATGCACTGTAATTTTAAACACTGCTGAGGCAGGAAAGTGACTTCTAATTCTAAAAAACAAAGGATATACAGTGGTATGCTATTTAAATCCCATTTACTTAACTGCACCCTTGAAAATGATGTTGCCACACCAAGTCTTTCTTAAAAACCCGTTCTGTGGTTGCTAAGTAAGGAACGATCTCCCCAAACAACAGGACTCAACGGGCAAGCAGGACTGAGAACAAGCTGGCCCTCAGTAATGCACCACTCCCAGAAGTGCACTTCCAGGGACAAAAGTGAGACAGAGGCAACAGGAGGAAAAGCAGTTTTGGATTTCCCATATAATTACAAAAAACTTTCTTCTACTGTGCATTTACAATGTGTTTGCTCATTTTTACAAATTTTCAGTTACCAAGACCAACAATAACCACTCACTGAGCACGTACTTAAGTCAGGCATTATTCTAAGCATTTATACATATTAATTAATTTTAATAATAAATATATATATTATATGTGTATATTATTATATGTATATATTATTAATTTTAACATGGCTAAATATACATATTATATGTATACATGTTAACTCATTTTTATGCCTACAATACCTCTCACAGAGAAGTACCATTATTATCCCCATTTTATAGATGAGGAAGCTGAGGCACACAGTGGTGAAGCACTTACCTGAGATCATACAAGTAATAAGCAGTAGCACAGGGATTTGAACCCAAGCAGCCTGGCCCCAAACTCCATGCTATTCGCTACTAGGCAAGTACTTCTCAAACTTTTTAGTATGAAGACCCTTTTACCTATAATCTCCAAATTTGGACACATTTCATTGTACAATATTAAAAAATTACATTTGTTAATATCACCATCAATCTCATCAGAAAACCATTGACTAAAGCTGTCAAGCTCAAGGTAGTGAATATAAGTTTTCCTAACTTCTAGATTTTGTTTAAAATTTGAATTTTATCACTGGCAAGAGATACTGTCAATTATTTTTCTTGAAGTGTCAGGCTCTCTTCATTCTTTTTTAAGAAAGCGATTTATCAAATACCAGGTCTGAATATCCATAATTTATCTGCCAGAGAGAGATATTTTTAAAATAGAGATGATGTCCCATTAAAAAACAACTGCTGGTTCAGCTTGCAATTCAATCAACTACAGAGGTGTTTTCTCTGTGATAACCATCTAACTCGGACATGCAGAAGAAATGTTTTATGCATACTTCCTACTTCATCACACAGGCTATTAAAAAGATATGCATCCAAAGTCTCAGGACACAAAATCATGTATAAAAATTACTAGTGGCTGGGCATGGTGGCTCATGCTTGTAATCCCAGCGCTCTGGGAGGCAGGCAGCTTATGTGAGGTTAGGAGTTCCTGACCAGCCTGGCCAACATGGTGAAACCCCATCTCTACAAAAATACAAAAATTAGCCAGGTCTGGTGATGTGTGCCTGTAATCCCAGCTACTCGGGAAGCTAAGGCAGTAGAATCAATCACACCACTGCACTACAGCCTGGGTGACAGAACAAGACTGTCTCAAACAACAACAACAACAAAAGCCCCACAAAAAAAACCAAAAATCACTAGCACTCCTATACACCAACAATGGTCATACCAAGAGCTAAATTCGGAATGCAGTCCCATTCATAATTCACACACACACACACACACACACACACACACACTAGGAATATAGCTAACCAGGAAGGTGAAAGATCTCTGTGAGAGCTGCAAAACACTGCTCAAAGAAATCAGATAACACAAATGAAAAAAACATTTCATGCTTACAGATAGGAGGAATCAATATTGTTAAAATGGCCATACTGTCCAAAGCAATTTATAGATTCAATGCTATTTCTATTAAACTACCAATGTCTTCACAGAACTAGAAAAAACTAATTTAAAATTCATGTGAAACCCAAACAAGGGCCCAAATAGCCAAGGCTATCCTAAGGAAAAAGAATAAAGCTGGAGGCATCATGCTACCTGACCTCAAACAACTCTATAGGGCAACAGCAACCAAAATAGCAGGTCCTGGTACAAAAACACACATAGACCAATGGAACAAAACAGAGAACCCAGAAATAAGGCTGCACACCTACAACTATCTGATCTTTGACAAATCTGACAATAACAAGCAATAGGGCAAGGATTCCCTATTCAATAAATGGTGCTGGGATAACTGGCTAGCCATATGCAGAAGCTTAAAACAGGACCCCTTCCTTGCATGATATACACAAATTAACTTAAGATGGATTAAAGACTTAAATGTAAAATCCAAAACTATAAAAACCCTGGAAGAGAACCTAGGCAACAGGGGATTCTGGACATAGGAATGGGCAAAGATTTCATGATAAAGACACCAAAAACAACTGCAACAAAAGCAAAAATTGACAAATGGAATCTAATTAAAGAGCTTCTGCTCAGCAAAACAAAACAAAACAAAACAAAACAAAACAAAACACTATAATCAGAGTGAACAGACAACCTACAGAATGGGAGAAAAATTTTGCAAACTGCATTGATAAGGTCTAATATCCAGCATCAATAAGGAATTTAAACAAATTTACAAGAAAAAAAAACCCCAAACAACCCCCATTAAAAAGCAGGCAAAAGACATGAACAAACACTTCTCAAAAGAAGACAGACATGTGGCCAGTTAAACAAATTCACAATTCACACACTTGATATCACTGATCATTAGAGAAATGCAAATCAAAACCATAATGAGATACCACCTTGTATCAGTCAGAATGGCTATTAAAAAGTTGAAAAATAACAGATGCTATTGAGGTTGTGGAGAAAAAGGAACACGTACACATTGTTGGTGGGAGTGTAAATTAATTCAACCATTATGAAAGACAGTGTGGCAATTCCTCAAAGATCTAAAAACAGAACTACCATTTGACCCAGTAATCCCTTTACTGATTATATACCCAAAGGAATATAAATCATTTTATCATAAAGACACATGCATGCATATGTTCATTTCAGCACTACTCACAATAGCAAAGACTTGGAATCAACCTAAATGCTCATGAGTGGCAGACTGAATAAAGAAAATGTGGTACACCACGGAATACCATGCAGCCACAAAAAACAACGAGGTCATGTCCTTTGCAGGAACATGGATGGAGCTGGAGGCCATTATCCTTAGCAAACTAAAAGAGGAAAAAGAAACAAGTATCACATGTTCTCAGTTATAAGTGGGAGCTAAATGACGAGAACACAGGCACAAATAGAGGGGAACATCACACACTGGGACCTATTATAGGGTGGGAAGTGGGAGGTGGAAGAGGATCAGGAAAAATAACTAATGGGTACTAGGCTTAATACCTGAGTGACAAAATAATCTGTACAACAAACCCCTATGACACGTATTTACCTATGTAACAAACCTGCACGTGTATTCTTGAACTGAAAATAAAAGTTAAATAA